ACTCTACAGTTGACTATTAGTGTAGTAACCTAGAAGAGATGGTAAGCAGCATATTACTCAGTTAGTCAGACTTAAAATTGTGCCAAATCATATAATTTAACTTCAAGAATCACAAATTAAGGTAAAAACATGTTCTACTCCCTCCATCTCAATTTACGTGACACTCTTTTCTTTCTAATCAGTCCCAAAAAGAATGACAACTTTTTTTGTATTTAGTAACAACTCAATTTTAAATTTCTCTTTTAACTCTTAATCAGATGATTTCTAACCACAAAATTTTTATAGCTGTTTTAGACCACAATTTATAAACAAACAACAACAACATACCCAGTAAAATCTTACTAGTGGGGAGAATAGAGGGTACGCAGACCTTACCCCTGTCCCGAGAAGGATAGAGAAATTATTTCCGGGAGACTCTTGGCACAATTTATAAAAAATATTTATTTCTTTTTTAACTTCATACTCATTCAAACATATTCACATAAATTGACACGATAATTAACTATAGTTATGTGATAAATATGCAAAGATAACAATGCTCTCAAGTTTACCTCCACATATTATCATAATGCAGCAAAATCAGCAGTAGTACTATTACTCATGTTTTTCCTCTATTCTCCAGTAGTACGTTGACAGAAGCAATGTTTGAGAAAGAGCAGTCAATTTCCATCAATATTTCCATCATATCCTCTAAATTCATGGTCATCTCGAGATCATCAAAGAATCGCCTTTTGGGCGTACAACTCTGCCTCTACACCTTGTCGGATTATTTTTCTATCGAATGAAATTCAATTAGTGCAGACTGTGCAGTGCTCCCTATCTTCTGCCACTGTACATTTACATTATTTGCACTCGTGTGAATCCTACCATTTCTTTCTTTTCCCCGACTTAGAAGCTGATTCAGAATTTATAGTTTATAGGTTCGTAGAGTAACCTTAAATTAATATATAATAATAATTGGATTCACAATTAAATATTTATCCACCAAGAAATTACACTAAATGACCTTGAAAAGGGTCACACTTGATTTTATGATCCTCTATTGTCCTATGGGCAAATCTTTAAGATCAAAAGTTAAAGTGTTTCCCATTAGGCAAGCGAAAGACAAAACTTGTTAAACTTGAAGTGTTGTTCACGAGACAAATGAACTCAAAAAATCAAGAGTAGCACCGAAATGTTCTATTTCTATCACTCCCCCATCAACTCCGCCCATTAAATGCAGCCTATCCTAGCCCCAAATCGGGTCGGTTATCTCGCCCTTAATAGGCCGGGTTGTGCCCGGACTGGACCACTTTATACCAATGAGATGTAAGGAGTTTTCCGAGCTAAGAGAAGGGTATTTCCAATACCTAGCTAAGATAAGGTTATTTCCAGTACTCGTCCAAACGTCTTCAATCCCTAATATGTAATCAATGGAGGTACTTAATTCTTTCATCCCGTTTTATATAACTGGTGTTTGACAAAGGCCTGTAGTTGCAAAAAGAAATATTAAAGGCAGAGGCGGAACCAGGATATGAGGGAGAAATTCAAAAATAACCAGATTTACAATTGGTCGTTCATTAATAGTCCAGTTTCAAAAGTAATAGAAATTTAGCCATTTTCATGTAAAGATAAATCTGAGCGAAAACACTGTTCAAAACTCGGAAAATACGCCAGTATATTATACTGATGCTTGAACTCCAGCATATTATACTGGAGTTCCAGGATAAGTATGCTGGAACTCCAGCATAATATGATGGAGTTCCAGCATAAGTACACTAGAACTCCAGCATAATATACTGGAGTTCCAGCAAGTATAATTGTCCAGTATAATATACTGGAGTTTGGAGCACCGGTGCTCCAGTCTCCTATATATTATACTGGAGTCAACAAAGTATACCGGTCCAGCATAATATGCTGGAGTTCATATACAGGTGTACCGAACTCCAGTATATTATGCTGGACCGGTCTCTGTTGCAACAAAATACTGGCTTTTTTTCATTGACTTCGTAAATGCTGGCTATTTTTGAATGACCAGTCTGAAAACTGGCTATACCGTGTTATTTTTACAGGATATGAAGTTTATGGGTTCGAGAATATAATCTGTTCAAGTTACTGGGTTCTAAATTAATAAATCGTACATATTGAATGAATTTCTTAAAACAAATACATAGCTTGATAAATGCTACTGGATTCGGCCGAACTCATAGGTCATGTTCCAGCTTCGCCCTTGATTAAAGATCCTTGAAATGTATGGTCTAAATAGATCATAAACACTTGTGTAGATATAAAATTATATTATTAAATGCAAAATCAGAATTTCAAAGTATAATTATAGGCGTAATGACTTCCTGGCCACTTAAACTTGTAGGGCTTTTGAAAGCCGATACACGCACTTTGGATTTTCCCATTTGTATACTCCAACTTGACAAAATGGGTAATAATAAATACATTAACTAGAGCGTGTATATCAAATGCGTTGACATGTACAACACATCATGCTAAGCTATTTATTACCTGCCATGTATTATTTGTGGGTCCTATTTTTAAATACAAAATCAAAAAAAAAGTTACAAATACAAAGAGGGAAAAAAACAACGTGTGAAACATACTAGGTGTTCGATAATTCCACAGTGGGAATCGTCCCCTCCGACGAGCATCAGAACTCTGGCGAAGCAAAAATGAACGCGCAAGGTGTTCCAAGTATCCAAATTGGAAAAGAAAGGTACCAAAATGTTCACCTTGATGAGGAGAATGTTCCTACACTTCCAATTACATATGGGTACCAACCAATTCCTCCAATTTTACAATCCAAAAGCTCAGGTAGTCCGATTGAGCAAGGTGTTCGACGAAATGCCTCTATCAATTCTGGGCCAATTGGAGACCAATTTCCAATTGGAATCCCTTCTACTACACCAATGAATCCTATATGCAAAGAGTCAGCTCAATCCATTCAAGAAATTAATCATCACCACCAAGTTGAAAACTCAGAACTTCACCAGTTGGTCGGGCATGGTGCTCCAGGGATAATTGGATCACAAAACCAATGCCAAACCATTTCTGCACCCCAGGTGAGTATTCCCAACCCATCACAACTAATTTTACATGGGTCAATCGCGTCGAATATTAAAAAAGGTCCTTCAGAACACTGTTCACCCAACACTGTTTGACCAAATGTCAACCCCCAATCCAGCCCAATTCAAAGGAATTTATTGATGGGAGACCCTTCCTTAGTACCTATGGAGATCACTTGCCAAGTTTCTCAGCAATCCATTGCAGGAATTGAATCTACTCAAAAAATTGGAAAAGTCTTGCAATCCATTGCGAGAAGATGAAAAATTGGAAAAGTCTTTTTCCTTTTTTATTTTTCTTTTTTATTTATATTTTATTCTAATTCTAATTTTTTTAAGTAAAAACAATACTGTTCACGTGCCTTGGCAGCGTGATTTGTTCACAGTTTAACCATGTCAGTTGTAGTGCTTCCACATAGGCATGGTCAGCGGTCAAAAGTGTTTATTATTACCCATTTTGTCAAGTTGGAGTGTTCAAATGGGAAAATTCAAAGTTCATGTATCGGCTTTCAAAAGCCCTACAAGTTTAAGTGGTCAGGAAGCCATTACGCCTTAATTATATCCAAATATAAATAGACTAAAAAGGAAAGTGTGACATACAATCAAACTAATTAATAGCCTGTTTGGCCAAGCTTTTTTCTTTTTAGCCAAAAGTGATTTTTTTTTTTGCCAAAAGCACTTTTGGCCAAAAATTGAGGTATTTGGCCAAGCTTTTGGAAGGAAAAAAAGTGCTTTTGAGGAGAAGCAAAAACAGTTTTGGAGAAACAGAAAAAAGTAGCTTCTCTCCAAAAGCACTTTTCTGAGAAGCATTTTTGAGAAAAATACACTTAAAAACAGTTTTTAAAAGCTTGGCTAAACACTAATAACCGCTCAAAAGTGCTTTTCAAATTAACTAGCCAAACTATTTCTCGCCAAAAACAAGGCAAAGCGTTCTCCAAAGTAAAAAACATAAATTCTGTAATCTTTGGACTGCATGCATTCTTTTTGTTCTTCTTTATATTCCTTTTTTGGAGGGGCTTTGTGATGGATTGATGGGTGAGCGATGCTATGTTGAAAACAGTGCTGTATAGGAATTGCTGTGGACGAAATGTGAAAGGCTGAAAACCCTATACATTACCCACTGTTCTACACAATGTGCAAGAATTAATATACTGTATATGGTAGACAAAGATGAGGTTCTATAGGAAATACGCACAGTTCAGGTTTTCATTTTAGTAAACAGAAGATTTTGGGAAATACTCCCTCGCTTCCGGTTTACGTGAACCTATTTCCTTTTTGGTCCGTTCCAAAAAGAATGAACCCTTTCTAAATTTGGAAACAATTTAGTATAAACTTACAACTCTACCCTTAATGAAAAGCTTTTATAACCACACAAATACTCTGGGCCCCCTTTTAACTTGTTTAGGACCCCAAATTCCAAAAATCTTCATTTTTTCTTAAACTCTATGCCCAGTCAAACAGGTTCACATAAATTGAAGCGGAAGGAGTAATAATTATATCGACAATTTATGAAACCAAAATTGACTTTGCAGTCACTCTACAGACCGTTCTTTTTCCTGTTGGTTCACTGAGACTATTTGGTCACAAGACTTTTTGAAAAAAAAAAGTGTTTTTCTTTACTGCGTCCCTTGCTCATCAAGTTGCCTTACAAAGAAATTATAATGTTTGATGTGAAATCGGCACTCAGATTTTGCTTGTTCTAGTGGCCTTTTGATATGGCTTTCTTTCGGCTATAAATTCAGAAAATGAAACTTGGCAGCTTTGCAGCATATTAGGTAAAGAAAAGTGGTCCATATCAACAAAAGCAGAAACCATATGTAAATAATATGAAATGCATATATAATTAATTAATGGAGGAAGGCTTAATTAGCTACAGATTCTAACTAGAGAATCTGCTTTTCAATAACATGAAAATAGTTTATTTATTGTTTATTGACCATAAACAAATCCCATAAATTACTACACCTTAAATAGGCATGACTTTTTTTCTAGACCCAATAATACTAACATAAAACGAAAGTGTAGCGGCCATAGACTTTCCATGCCACATCTAGATGGTCTCTAAATATGACAGAACATCTAGCCACAATATAAAATACTTAGGAAATATTTTCAAGTTCAGCAGTAAGAGTAGAATAATATATAGTTTCAAGAGAAAAATAGGACTCGATGTTCTAGCTAGGACGGTGAATTTTGTGAAAAAGGGCTAGTAGCTATAGGGAAACCATAGCGAAAGTAGTTAAAATTTAAGTAGCACACCATTCTCTTAAGAGGGTCACAAACCCTAGAAAGAAAACCCCAGACCCTCTATAAATTTTGGTTGATTGATCAAATACTTGATCCTCCTCCTCCTCCTCCTCCATGGATATTTCCAGCAGAAGAGTTTTGATCATTCCAATTATTAGGGATAGAAAAACTAGGTGTTTGATGAAAACCTCTACTAAACTCAACCGGCCTTTGGCGAAAACCAGCCATGTTAATTCCTTGTGTTCCAGGTAAAGGCGGCGGGGGTGTGTACTCATTGCAAGCATAGCGAATCAAATCGGCGTTAGCAGCGTCGAGTTCCTTTTGCAGGCGCTCAACTTGGCGTTGAAGGAAAGAGATGGCCCCAACGCAGCCATAAACCGGATCTCTTACTCTTGCTTCGGCTTCGTAGGCTAAAGAGTTGACAGCGTCCTCTCTCTGGTGAGGCAAGAGCTCATTGAGAAGCTTAGTGACATTGCTTGCGCCGAAGATTTTGTGGACGTTAATGAACTTTTGAGGCTCCTCGGGTGGGAAGTAAGGTGCAAAAATGCAGCCAGGTAGACATTTTCTCCTTAGGAATTTGCAGGCTGCACAAGGGGAGTTGTATGAGCTGCTGGATGAAGCCATTCTTGATCTCTAAGTAGCTGCAAAGAGAAAACATCATGTAAGCTCTTTTTTTTTAATTGAAATTTTTTACCTTAACTAATTATAACAATTTTCTCTTTATTATGATAAGCTATTTTATTGTGAATTGTAATGGAAATTTACCTTAAATTATTATAGCATCTTAAATTTCTCTCCTTTTTCCCAATTTGGGTTTCTCTTGGGATTCTTTTGCTATAAGATTTGATCCTGCTATTGTGAAAAAATATGCTAGACGTGCTCAATTGGGTGTATTTCTAACTTGTGAAATCGATCTTGGTATTTAATATACTACATGGACAGTTAGCTAATGGTTTTCTGTTATGTTTTCTCCCAAACAATTTGTTGTTTCTGGTTCATGGCTCACAAGTACACTGCATGCTTTGATCTTTATAGAAGGAGTATTTAGTTTGATGAAGAATTTTCCTCATTTCTGTCATCCAGCTACACAGAGACGGTAGAATTTTCACGATCTTGAATTTGGAGGTTCAAGTGGAAGCTAAGTAGTGATATATCCTTTCTGAAATTTGTTAAACATGAGATCTGAAAAATGCACTTGAAATCAAATTTCTTAAAAATAAGTAAAAGGAAAACCCTAAATCAAGAATTGCTACACGGAGTAACATAATAGAGCAAGTATGTTTCTGGAACTTATTTAGGAAGAAAAATGTTATATGAGTTTACCTATTTCTGATCTAGCTAGGTTTCTTTAATGAGATGATTGTGAAAAGGGAATTACCTTTTTTTCTCTTTCAGGGAGCTCTCTCCTTAATCAGAAATCTTGGCTGTGTTTCGTCAAAGTTACAAAAAGGAATTAAAGTACAAAAAACAGTAGCAGATTGAAAGAAGAAGTTAAGTGATCAGCTTCACAAGTTCAATACTAACTTACTGGTGAAACCCTCTAAAGGGGAAAACCCTAATTGGAGAAGAGAGAACTTTAGGTTGTCCCCTGCAAATCTAGTAGTAGTAGCAAAAGTATAAATAATAAAGAAAAGAGAAGCAAAGGGCAATTTAGTGATGGAGAAGGAATGAAGGCAAAAGACAAAGGGTAATAAATGGAAGGTACACTAGGAAAAAGATGACTATGACACTGCATCTAATAATAATTTCATACTTGTGGGGATGTATGTATCCATTTTTTCCCCCTTCTACCCTATTTCTCATGCACTCACAGACAACCATAAAATTCTATATACGTTTTATTTTTTTTTATTTTTTTTTGTGTGATATAAACCCGACATTTTCCTCGTATTTGTTCCTTGTAATTTTAGCAATTGAAGAGAAGAATGAAAGAATTAAAGAGAAAAGAAAATTAAGGCAGCAAAAGAAAATATAATTGTAATACAGACTGACGATTCATATATTTGAATAGTTGAATTGAGACAGATTCTGATTTTCAGATTTTGGGAAAAAGAAAATTTGTTTATCCTCCGTAAAATCCATTCAAATAGGGATTTTTTTCTGTGAAGCTTTATTTGAAATTCTTATTTTCTGATTTTGGAGAACATCTTTTCATTCATTTGTCTCAACTTCTTGTCAATTGCTAATCACTCTTTTTATGGAATTGACATGCTACATATATATATATATATATATATATATTACTTTTCTTAGCAAATATATTTATAAGTATCGCAGGATGACATAATAAGGTAAATTAGCTAGGTTTAACCCCTTTTCTTAATATAATTTCATTTTTTATCTGCTTAATATTCCTTATTCTAACTTTTTTTATTGAAGAATCAAAAGAAAACCTCCATTTTGTGAAGTATCATCAGCAGTCAAGCTTAAGCAGATTGTTTTCAATTTGCTAGAAACAAAGCAGAATTGAGGGTCAGACGAATTTGAAGTTTACACAATTTAGACTTTAAAAGAATTGGATGGATTGAAGATGACCAACACAGGATCACGATGTAATATAATGCACCAATTTTTCTTTAGACATTATTCCTGGGATGAGTTTAAAGTCATAAACAATGGCAGAACCAGAATTTTTAATGAGGGGATTTAAAAAGTAAAAAAGTAAACATGCAAAAAAAGCTAAGGGGGTTCATCATTTAAAATATATATACATAAAAATGAAATTTAATCTTATATACATCGTATAATTTCCGAAGAAGGAGGTTCGAATTTTGCCCTAGCTCCGCCCATGGTCATAAGCAATACTTTTTTCAGTGGAATCACATTATAATAGTTCGTCCTTAAGCCTGGCTACCTAAGGATTTTGGAAATATACTTCGAAAAAATTTCGCATTTTATATGATCTCATTTTTTTATTACCTTGCAGTTGTTGGTGATTGCTTTCGTTTTCTGTTAAATTACTAGTAGAATCTGTGAAGTAAATTGTTACCTCTTGATTGACTCATACCTAGGACGTGTTAATATATAGCACAACATAATAAAAGGAGAAATAATTCCTATCTAACCAATTTATATGGTTCAATTCGGTGTAATTTTACAAAAAGGAAACAATTTAAAGAGACATAAGCTAAAGAAAAAAATCAAAAAATAAGGACTTCTCGAGTTTTCCTTTTTCAGATACCTGCCTCACTCAAGAAAGTGGGTTCGTTTGGAAAAGAATTTCCTTATGGGAGCAAATCTTTTAATCTGATTTAAATTCTTTGGAGATCCGAAGCTTGTAACATCTATTCTATATATTTTGACTTTGACTATTTCTGGATATAGTACTTAAAACAAAGTGGGAATGAAAAAAAAATAACTGCGTCACTCAAGAAAGTGATTTCTAGAAAGATTCTCGTGTAATTAAATGACTAAGTAGGCGTTTGGACATAAACAATGTGAAATATGGAAAAAAAAATTAATTTTTGAAGTTAAGTTGAAAAATGAACTTATGTTTGGACATGCATTTTATTTGAAAAAAATATTTGCAGTTGTACGAGAGAAAAACATTATTTACTTGAAAAAACAAAGTAAAAATTACTTTTCAAATTCAAAATTTATCTTCAAATTTGTTTGAAATTTGTTTCAAAAAAATATATATATTTATGGACAAACGGCTCCTAATTACCTCAGCGCATTTCTAACCAATTGTGCTTTAGGTAAAGTTTCACATTTGGAAAGAATATGATTTTTTTCTTCTTCATTTATTTAATGTGAATCAAATCAAGTAAAATTATTTCAACACCATTGGCCGATCGAGGTTGCTATCCCTCGTACTAAACGAGCCCTTACAAATTTGAAGCAATGGCTGTCACAAAAAACCAAAATGAGCATTTCCGTTTGGCACTCTCGAGAGCTGTTATCTTCACAAATTTTACTGCAATATTATCTACTCCCTCCGTTCACTTTTACTTGGCACGTTTTGACTTTTCACGTGCCTTAAAAAACAATAAATGAAGTACATAATTTATCATGATACTCATATTAATTGATGCATATTTTATTGTATTTGAGAAAATAATTTGAAATGAGTAATAAATATTGTGGGTATAAAAGGAAAAAAAATTGTCTTATGTTGATATGCATAAAGTAACAAGTCTTATCTTGATATGCATAAAGTGACAAGTAAAAATAAAAATCTATTTGTAATATACATGCCAAGTAAAAGTGAACGGAGAGAGTACTAGTACTGGATCTGCAAGTCTTAAATTGGAAAAAATTAATTTTTGCTATTAGAATTTCGCCCTTCTTCTGCTACTTATTAATCCCGGACATCGATTAATTGATATAGAAATATAACATAATGTGCACAACTTTTAGGAAGCAAATAGACAATAATTAGGAGAGTCAAAAGGGGGAAATTGAGGAAAATTGAATACACAAATTAAAGTGTAAGTAACACAAAAGGGGAAAATTAGATAACTTTTTTGTTTTAGGAAAGAATAGACAATAATTAGGAGAGTCTTTTCAAATATCATTACCTCACCTCGAAGATAATAAACCTTAAGATCTGAAGAATCATGACAGTTTGACTCGACTTAACTAACAACTAAATTGAATGAATTGATCGCCAAAAATAGTTACTAATTCAAACAAGGATGCGTTATTGATTCAATCTCCACTTTCTTTTTTGTTCATTTTAACTTGAATTGAGTTCAAAACTGATAAAAGCGCGTCAATATATCCACCAGAGTGAAAATCAGCAAAGCAAAGCAGTCAACGATTTTATTCAATGAGCAAAGCAGTCAATAATTTTACTCAATGTTCAGTCTCAAAACTCCTTGATAAATGCGTTTTTTCCATGCACATGAAGAAAGAAGGAAAATGAAAAAACGAACCACATCAGTCCTTTAAGGATGAGATGATTTCTTTATATGATCTTGGACCCCTCCCTAACATAAGAATTTCTCCAAAGGTGTTTAAATTTAAAAGAAGTGAAAAACAATTCCGATAAAGATGTTTAATATGTATTATATACTTTTAAAATATAATATTGTACCTATATACATAGTGTAATTTTTCGACGAAGTGACCACCCTTATGACCATGTGGCTTCGTCCATGTCTTGGACATTGGTATCAGAATTAGACCCATTCTAATTTATTTTTTCTCCAATATAGTATCCTTATCTTATACTCACTACGCTTAAGATTTTGTCTAGAGATGGGATGGTCCCTTTATACAATTTTGGTATCAGAATTAGACCCATTCTAATTTATTTTTTCTCCAATATAGTATCCTTATCTTATACTCACTACGCTTAAGATTTTTTCTACAATTTTGGGATGGGATGGGATGGTCCCTTTATACTCACTACGCTTAAGATTTTGTTGAGTTGAGGCTAAAATCTATTTTTTGTATTTTATTCTAATTTCTCCCAATAAGTTTCTGGAAATTAAACTAACTAATCGTGAGAACTTCTGATATGCTAAAAGAAATAATTAAGGTTGTTTACTTGTTTATATGTTCCTTGTTCAATTGTTCCTCTCCTTTTTGGCAGCCAAAAACATGGGGCATTTGTATCTATACTCGTTTTTTGTGTCACGTTTTAACTTGTACCTGCTTTGCAAAAAAAATTGCAAACGTACCCGCTTTTTCGCATAACTTCAACTTACGGGGCTGAAGTAGCAAAGGCAATCACGCAAAACTTCAGCATTCTAGTAGCCGGACCTGAAGTTCAGCTCTAGAGCTGAAATTTTTGTTTTGTAACTAGCAAACTTCAACTCTAGAGCTGAGTTTTTATTCTGTAACTGACAAACTTCAGCGGCGAACTTCAGCTCTAGAGCTGAAGTTTTTATTTTGTAACTATCGAACTTTAGCTCTAGAGCTGAAGATTTTGTTTTGTAACTGTCGAACTTCAGCTCTAGAGTGTTTTAACTCTTAGACATCTGCATTTGAGCTTTTGGGACATCAGCTGAAATCAAACAAATTAAAGACTCCCATTGATCCCTCCCTAAAGAATCACCCACAAACATCACTGTTTTCCCTTTTATTTTCAACAGAAACTCAAGCCCATTGAACCTATCAAGAAACAAAAACCACCCCAACAAATCAAATACTGCAACACTCATCAGCAATCCGTCAGTTAAAGGAAAAATAAAAAAAGAACACCTTTTGTATTTAATAATAATAAAGTACGCTCATTATGAACAAATGTTTATATAAAATGCTCAAGTAATAAAAACCATTGAGGTTCAATTCGTGACATTATTTCAAGAAAAAATTATTGAGTTGATTTGATAACTTAGAATTTTAAAAATTTCTGTTCTATAGTAAGATGGCTTCTGAGGAATTGAGTGAAGCCACAGAAGGAGAGATATTGTTACATCAATGTTAAGTTCCGGAGAGATATGGAGATCACTGGGAGAAGGAGGAGGAGAAATGAGCTGAAATTGTTTAAAAAGTGGGTACTAATTAAAAATTTTTAAAAAATGGGTATACATTAAATGGGGGCGACCAAATAGGGCGCCCCGTGCAATTTTTACCAAAAACATGCAACCACCATGGGCCCATTTTACTGTGGCTACATTTGCAACGATACTTTGGGGATGATAGGTAAAATAGTTACTTTTACTCATAATTTTTTTGTGACTAGAGGACGCTATCAATTATGCCATGAATCTAGCTAAAAGCAACTATAGTTTTATTGTACAATTATAATATTATCATTCTTAATTTACACTCAAAAAGAACTTAGT